CCTGGTCCTCTGATGCTGCTTGGCCTGCTGTGTTCATTCAGCTCTACACCTTGTTATCTCCGATTCTGCAACATCGGCAGTTCCCACTATCTCTGCATTTATATAACGCCATTCGTGACCAAAGCACTCATCAAAGCGACGTGCAAAAACAGAATCTTTTTAAAAAGTATTCACTTCAAATGCAAGAAATGTGTTCGGCATATTGTGTTTAGCAAACTCGGTGCGTGTGGAATGTAGTAAAGAGCAGATAACCTGGTTTTATGATGTTGATTGTGGGTCAGTTAGTGGAATGCCAGACGGATCATTTGGTAGGGCATTGAATAGTCACCATTTCCGTCAATAACTTGGTTGAAGGGGCACATCATATTGCTGATGTCAAACAGGAAGATGAAAATAACAACTTGTGAGGCGGACATAAAGATCATCTAAAGAGTAATCAATCGCTGAAGGCAGTAGGAAGAATCATGCAGGTGGAGTATAATGAGCGAAAACGGGAGGGTGTCCATATCGCTGAAATGTGTCACCACATCGACAAAAATTAATTCCCTCCCCAACTGTCAATCGGTGTAAAAAAACATGTCCTGCCTATAAAATGCTCTGCAGAATTCAACACAGCACCAGAAGCAAGATCGTCAAAAAAGGTAAGAAGTGCAGATACGTGGGAACATTGCCAGCAATAAGTTCCCGACCAAGCCAGTCACTATCCTGTCGTGGAAATCAATCACCGTTGATTCACTATCACTGGGTCAAACCCTGGAGCTTCCTCCCTAACAGCCTTTTGGGTCATCCTACAGCAGATGGACTGCAGCCGTTCAAGATTACAACATTCCACCACTTCAAAGGCAACGAGGGACCAGCAATAAATGCTAGCGCAGTCAGTGACACCGCCTTCCCAGGACTGAATACCAAAATCAGAAAACCATCCAGAATGTGGAACGTTATTGGAAGGAGGAAGGTGATGAAAGGTAGGGAAGTATTGCTGCCACTAACCAGGATATTCGTGCAAACAGACTCTGTGTACCAATTATAAAATGTTTGGGCTCACTACTTAAACAAGAAACACCATCAACACTTCAGAGTAAATTCACTCGGTTAATTCTTGGAATGATAATGTTGGCTGATGAGCAAAGATTGAGCGTCTGGGCCTACGTTATTTGCAGTTGTGCAGAACGAGGTGATGAAGTTACTGAAACAATTAAGGATCTGGGGAAACTTGAGTGAATAAATGTTATGAAGGTATTTCGGCCTTTGTGGATGCGACCAATAAGGTCATTGTTTGAATATTAACAATCGTCACTTCAGATAGAGCTAAGGACATTTTCTTGGTCAGAGAGTTATTAATCAGTAGGTACGTCCACCCCTGACAACAGCCGTGACATTGAATATATTCCAGTTTATATTGAGAGATTTTTGATCTACAAGCAAACCATAACTTTTTGTAGAGACTACAAACATGGAAAGAACAGCAGATGCTGGTAATCTGAAACATAAAACAGGAATTGTTGGAAAAAATCAGTCGTCTGACAACAAATGTGGCAAGAAACGAGAATTAACGTTATTTTTCCAGTGACCTTCCTTCAGGAGTGAACGGAAAAATAAAATCACTCTGCTTTCTCTCCACAGGTGCTGCCTTACCTGACGGGTTTCTGCAGAAATTTCTGTTTCTGTCAAAAGTTGTTAGGATTTGAGCCGAAAATTTGAGTTAAGGCCACAATCTGATCAGCTGCAATAGAACATTCGAAATACTTGACGCGTTAAGTGTTCATCTTTTTACATGTTTATGCGATAAAATATTTCGTAATAAGATGTATTTATCGCAGCTGTAAGCTATTATGATTTGTAATCGCACTCTTCACTCTGATTTCTTTTTAATAATGAAAGATATCATTCTTCAACCAGCTTCTGCTTTCCCTATTTGTACACGGCGGCTGGTATTCTTACAACCATTATTCTAACTTCACATCAACTCTCCCATTCCACTTATCTCTCCGTGCAACCGGTTTTCCCCTTTCCTGCCCAGCATCACAAACTTTGTCCATTTTTGCTGCTGAACCGGAATACAAAATTCAACGAAAGAATCGTAACACAGCAAAAATCAGACCAGTGGAATTGAAAAAGGATTTATAGGTCTCAGGAGTGAGGGCAAATCGTGAGTTCAAAATGAACATTGGAGATGACGAGCACCAAGAGTAACAGACTGAAGACAGAAATATCAATAGCATTTATACCCCGTGTCGAAAGGTTAAATGAGAGAAATCAAAAATAAACATCAAATTAGTAAATGTGTAATGTTAAAACGAATTTATTTATATAAATGAGTTCTTTTCCAGTATAAAAATTCCCAGCTTAAAAAACAGTTTACTCCCCAACGTACAAATAAATAGCAATAAATTAACATCTTTAAGTTACTTGACATATTGCATAAACTGTAGCATTTCAATAAATTAAGACTTCACGTCAATAAATATGAATAAATTAGAGTAACTGAGATGGGTTTCAAGTTTGGCCAATAAGAGTTCACAAGTGACAAGGTCAATGTGGTTCAGATCTCACTGAAGTGGAAGTCTGATATTCCAAAACAGACTTCACACACAGTGAAACTTCAACATTGCATCGGGAGAAAACATCACAACAATACATATCAGTGAATTAAAATAAATAGTCCTGGCAACACTCCCGTTGTTGCTATTGCTACAAATGAGAAAAAGAATCCTTACAAACATCAATAAATAGTTTCAATGGAAAGTCTTTGAAATAAATATTCATTGTTCTGGTCTGCAGTAAATATGTTCTTTTCAGTTTCTTCTGCTGACTTGTGCCATAATGAAATGCAACTGTTGTAAACGGGCTCTGGTCTCAGCACGGATTATTTCCCAGGAACAGTCACTGAATTTCTGAAAAGGTAAGATATTCAAGTAAGTGCATTTGAAAATGAATGAAATAAATGTTGCCATGATTTGCACAGTTAGTTATCAATTCTCATACCTTGTGTTTGAGAAACTTTTCCAGGTTCCTGAAGTAATGTTGAATGGCAGCATTTCTCTTCAACTTGTGGTCAGATCCTGATTTCTTCATGCAGTCTTGAAACTCTCTGAGCTGTTGTTCGAGGAGAAGACGAAAATTTTCCACCTTGTCCCAGGCCCAAGTGACTGAACCCAAGTTCATGCTGTAGATCTTGTTGATGTGATGCAGGGTTTGATGGATAATCGCAATCCTTTCCTGAGTCTGAACAAAACAACAAGGTTAGAAGAGTCGACTTTATTCCCGTTCATTTTGGGTTTACATTCGATTCAATAAACAAACAGCAAATAACAGTTAATTGTTCAAATCAAATATTATCTGATCAATGGAAAATGAGCAATGCGAGTCTTTAAATCAATGATTCAGAAACATGTATAAAGGGTTTATTCAAGCAGAGGAAAAGGACAGGACCAGTTAGAGTTTTCTGCAGCTCAGAATTGTGGTGGTTAAAGTGGAATGGAAAAGGTTCCAAACGAAGAATATTTAGTTCCTCATACAACAAGAAACAGGCTCAATCAAGTCGGAGAAATAACAAACTAAATAGGGGTAATTGGAATGTGTGCCGATTAATTAGTGTGTAACTCAAGAAGGAAGCTAGACATGTTTTTGAAAAGTATTAATAAAAGAAAAGCAGGGTGATTAGGAGGCAAAATTTATGGCCCCTTCTGTGGGAGCAAGGTATCACTGAAGACTGAAACTGTCATTCGAAGTTACTTGATTTAGAGAACAAAGGTATCAAATGTGAGAGTAAAGTGACAAGTTGATGAGAAATTCAGGAGGGAATAAATAGATAAGGCAAGAGTCATCAAGAATTAACAGCGAATGGAATGTGAAAGTTACTTGTTCTTTGTTGAATATATTCTGAGC